CCCCCCGACAGCCCCCCTGGAGGCCGGCACTATTTGTTTAGCAAAAAGCGATTAAATTGTAAGACAACAGGATTGCCCGCGACTGCCCCCTCTCACGCCAAGTGACTGGCGCGTCCGCGCGGTCAAGGAAGGAGGGGCGGACGGAGGGGGAGAGAGAGAGAGAGAGAGAGAAGGAAGAAAAGAGCGAGGGAGCGTGCGAGGAAGGCGAGGGGCTGATCTAGCCTCTGCGGAGGAAAGGTGGAAACGTCCTGCAGTACACAGTAAGACAACAGACAAACTAGCCAAGGAGGACGGATGACAGGCCGGAGACGAGGGGAGGCCGCCTGGCTGGCCTACAGACCAGACTGGACCTGTTTCGCTGAGCCAGGGTGTCAGTCCGAGTGGGGCAGCACTTCCATGAAATCTTAAACTTAATTCAATTTTAGGTGCACATCAACAATCTAGTGGTAGAAAGTGAACAGCGTATTCGCAGAGTCACTACTACCAACAGAAAGTAAAACGTGGGTCTTTGCATGTGTATTCTAGAGCACCCTTGTCGTCGCCCCAGGCCATCGCGCCAGTGGATCAGAGCGCAGACTAGGGCTACGCCAGGGCGCACCGTATCGGCATGTGGCCTCCGCTTTCAGCTGAAACGGCCCACTTCAGGTGTTTAAGCATGAGGAGTCGCACTCGGCCAGCACAGGCTGCTCAAGAACCAGAGAGGAAGCGCGGTGCACGCCTGGACCTCTCCTTGCTCTGCCTTTCATACGGATGACAGTACATCACAGATAAAAGCCAGAGTCTAAACCTGAACAGGACGTCATGATTCAGGATCATTACAAAACGAGCTCCTCAGTTCTGCCTAGGCTGGGTACCTGGGTGAAGGCCGGTGGAGTACATACAAGATACATGGGGGAGGTTCACTACCACCTTAAAATTACAGAGCAGAAAGAAACCACTGTACAGTTTTAATCCAACCGGTCTTGGTATTTATCTTGGTGGGAAAAAAGTTCAGACAAAACCACACCTCAAGAGAAAGGAGGGGAACTGTGCTTAGTCAGTGACCCAAACCGTAACAGAATCACAACCTCCAAAACGATTAGCCCCCTTCTGACTGCGATGACGGTCACGGCTTGGTTTGGGTGCCTTTCATGTGGTGTAACCAGCAGGACAGCTGCTGGAGGAGCTCAGCTGGCGGGACCCGAGAGGAGGCCAGGTGGTGTGCAGCACAGCGCCTCCTACAGGCCTGGGAACTGCTAGGCCCACCTTCTCTGGCTTTTAAAAAAAAGTTTTGTGCTTTAGTGAACAATATGATCCTCGTTTTTTCCCCCCACCTGCAAATACCATTCACCAGCAGCGTTTGAAAGGTTATTTTTCACGTCTAACTTTCCATAAGTGCAGAGTGGCACCTCTTGCTAATCTCTTGTCCACCTTCAACCTTTTAACAACAGCCTCCAGAAAAGCGCACCGCACACTTGGCACAGCAACAACACCAAACAAAAACAACCAAAAGCTTTTGAGAAACCTCTTAGTTTGCTTAAACCACAAAAACAGTCTAATGGTTTCTAGCGCATGGATGCGAAACCCAAACTGTGCATCACTGATCGAAGCCCCAGCTCACAGAAGCAGTCACTATGTACGCCGGCCTAAAGGAACCACTGCTGGTCACGGGTTTGAGATCAGCATCAAGACGTTCTCAACTTCTCAGTAGCTGTCTGACTTACTATCTTTCTACTCCCTACCTCTCAACCTTTGCTCGTTTGACTCTCGTTTCCTCTTCGTCCCCCAACCTGGCTTATGCTATCATGGGAGAGCTCTGGAACCCTATCCCCAGGGATAGGGCAGGTCACTCTCTGATGAGTGCATTCAAATCCAGACTCAACACCTTAATTTATTTGTGCTGATATGGTCTCCTATCTTTGTTAACTGTTTTCTTTTAACTGTTTTTTTTTTTCCCTGTATAGCACTTTTAAGACTATAAAAACATTTTAACACTATATAAAATATACACTTTATACAATATATCATGTTAACACTATATCAAATAATTAATAAAATGCATGATCACCGTCTGGGAAAACAGCTCTGACAAATCGCTCGGCTTACAGGAGAGTGTAGACGTTTGCCCCCAGAAGAGCCACAGGAGGCCCAGAGTGAGCACAGCCAGCACTAGACAGGAAGGGCAGCCTGCGGGTACTGCCCACCATCTGCAACGAGCCCTGCCCCTCACGTGGCCCGGGCACACGCGTCTCCGCCCCGCCCGCCACCTGCAGTGGTCTCCCCACCGCGCGCGGTCAGTCAACGAGCGTGCCCACACCGCAGCCCCGCACATGGAGCGCGGAGGAGTGGGGGGGAGTGGTTGGGGCACTGGGCTTCTAACTGGGAGGCCGGAGGTTCGAATTCCGGGGGCACGGCTCTAGTCCCCTTATAGGGGGCATCTCACTCCCATCATCCCACTCTGGTGCTCAGCTGCACGAGTGGGTACAAGTGGCGGCTGTGGATGGAAATCAGACCAAATAGCAGGCAGAGAGAGAGAGAGAAAAAAAGAGAAAGGGCCATTCAGCCCAGTTTCCTCGAGCACACAAGAGTTAAAAATACAGAAGACTGCATTCGGCCTCTCAATGAAAAGATGAAAAGAAAGACCCAAGGGACAACAAATAAAATCTTCACAAATACCGAGTCAAACAACACCTGTATATAGTAAAAAAAATGTTTAAGTATTTCACGCCTTTCTTTTATACAAGATGCGGTCATTCCTGCCTGATTTTACCCTGAACGAGCAGGTTTGCACTCTTACGAGCTGGGCTCTTGTAAAGCACTAGCAAGGACCCTCTTACCGGATGAGGAATCTATTGTTTATTATTATTACATTAAAACTTTTTATTCATAAAGGTTTGTTTGTGTTAAGTACTAATATTTGTGCATTTGCTAACAGCGGTAAAGATATAACTATTGCACTGTAAATGTGTTATTGAATTCCTAGCCACTGTTTATGCATCAGCTGATGACTTTAAGCAGGTTACCCAAATAATTAACCAGTCATGTTATTGTTTTATACTTAGGTACTGTTCTGTGCTGTATTAAGGGCATATATTTTAGTTCTGGAAGCAATCTGAGATTACACCACGGGAAGTAATTGGAATTTAATTTCCATTATACAAGTTTTCACTTTAAGAGACATTTTCGAGGAACGAATTAACCTTGTATAACGAGGGATCACCATGTATTAAACAAGAAATAGCTCTTTTCCCCGTCTCCTGTTGTGGTGTAACTAAAAACTTTTCATTCCACCCTTTTTATCACACAAGTCAAAGGCTTCCGCCACAGACAGCTGTTACTTAAGCTTATCAGCATGACACAGCTAACACTTACGAGTGATGCAGTGTTGTGATTGGACACACATCTAATTAATATTCCTACCCATAATTCACTGCAATTGCTAGCCTTATCTCCTTCTAGTAAATCATACTGAAAAGGCTGGATAAGGAAAACAGTGTGATGTGCCGGAGCTGAGCAGACTCTACTGAGTTGGAAATAATCACCCCTACAGTGCCTTAAGTAATGAACGCATCAAAACGCCAATAACTTTTTTCCGTCAATAGCACCATCAATATTTGACTTTCACAGATCAGAACAAACCGATCAAGGCTGTAAAAGTGCAGTCTTGAGTCGAAGCCCTTGTTCCAGAGAGCTTTCTTCATCCCACGCCTTGACGTCTGAAAATGCATTGGGGCATCAGTGGAGCTTCATTCCAAACCGAGAACCACACCGTTTCTGAAAACGGACGAAGACATGGTCAGACCTGCTCCAAGGTAGCTCCCAGCAGTGGGCCTAGAAAAGGGTCTCCCAAAGAGCACAGCGAGAGAAGATCACTAGGAGTTTTAAACTGCCTGGGAGGAAGAAAGGAGCCAAAAGCCTAAAGCCTCAAATAATGAGATGAAAGGGGGCTGCAGAGGGGCTCAAGTGGTCCGAGAGCAGACTGAGCTCTACAGTCGCAGGTTCGAGCCTGGGCCAGGTCACTACACGACGTGCCTGGGAAGGGGCGTAACGGGAAGGGAAAAGGGGGAAAACTCCCTCCTCTCCAGATGCCCAACGGCCCCGAAACAGCCCGGCTCGTGGGTCCGTGACTTCCCGGAGTGGGAACAAACCTGGAGACAGGAGAACGTTCACGGAGCAGTTTGAGGAAGGCGGACGGGGACGGAGACTGGTCATGCCCGTTAAAGGTGCAAGAAGCTCGGCGAGAGCCCGCGGACCTGTGGTCAGGGCGAGCGGCTGCCATCCCCCCCGCAGGCTGCCCTTCCCGTCTAGCTCACGGCGGCGCCGATCCCAGCTGGCTTCAGAAGCAGAGTGCCACGAGGGCGGCCGGGGTCCACGGCAAACAGCTGCTCACCAGCCTGCAAACAAGAACCTCGGCATCCTCAGCACGAGCGCCAGACAAACTGGGAAGGAGGCTTGCGACCCCACCGTCCGTGATCTGTGCTGGGGGGGAACCACCCGACCAGCCCACGAAAACACTAGAAAGCTTTTCACTCGAATCGTGGGAAGAAATTCCTTTCAGCTGATAACTGGAGCAAAATGAATTCACTGAAGTTCCCTACGGGTGTCAACACGCCGCTGCCTTGCAGTGCGGGGGCCCCGGGTTCAGCCCCTGGGGGGTGCCGTCTGTGTGGAGCCTGCATGTGCTTCCTACCATAGCGCGCGTTTCCTCCGGGTGCTCCGGTTTCCTGCCAGGCATGCTGGCAGGTTAACGGCCTTCTGGGAAAACAGGCCCTGTGTCTGTGTGTTCGGGGAGCGAGATCTGTGACGGACTGGCGTCCCGTCCAGACTGTACCCCGCCTTGCCTCCCAAGACGGGCTCCAGCTCCCCCATGACCCTGAATCAGACAAGTGGCGACTGAAAGTGTGACGTACTTCCCAATACCGGCGCGTGTGGACTGACCCGGCCCCGCGACCGCAGGGTACGAGCGAACAGGAGACGGGAGTCGGGGGGGCGGAGGGAGAGGAGAAACAGAGCTGCTTCACCTGCACACCTGAAGCCCTGGGCGGTCAGGCCCTTCTCCACGGCCAGGCAGGTGAGGATGCGCAGGAAGCTGGTGGTGACGGACTGCCGCTTGCCGCGCTGGCCGTCCCGGTGCCGGCGCTCCCGGGCCGCCTTCCCCCTCAGCACCACGGCGCCGGGCTGGG